GTGTAGTGATTGCTAAAATAGAATTTTGCTCAGTGCAACCTCATCTATATCTTGACATTGTGTTTGGTGGAAGCATTTGTGAGAATCTACAAAGAGTAAGTGATAACAGATTCAATTAAATTATTACATTTCTAATGTATGAATTAACAGGGAAGGAAGGAACTTCGATTGTGGTTCTAATTTCATCCCATCTTCTTAATTGTATGTGCAGTAACATCACACCTTGACATTTGCAAAGTGGCATCAGATCACCCCGAGTTTGAAATGTGATTCCTAGCCCATGATTATGTAAAATTAAACTCCTGCATAAGTACATTGGGCATTTAACAGGACGACCCCTGCATCGAGAGAAATAATTAACAACTTTATGAGTGCTTTTCAGCCTAATAAATAGCATGTAGGAGTAAGAAATAGTATTGTCTAGTCACACGTTTTGGTTTGTTGAGCCTGTTTGTAGGTACTATTTTGAGCATTTCTGCCAGCTGCATAGTAGCAAGCTTAACAAAGAGGTGTGCTATAAATCACTCTGGGTGTTAGAACTGACAGCTGTAAATAAGTACCGCTGACAACTCAAATAGCTGTTCCACTGACAGTATGTGGTCTAAATGTGTTAACAAATGTGTACACTCAGCAGTTTGGGATTAGTTTAGCGAATAAATTACAAAATAGCGCTGTGATCCAGCAAAAAGCACAATGCCTGCGTATGCCTGGTCTGCAGGCTTTGTTAGTTCTGGCACAGGCCTTTGTAGCCTTGGGTGAAAATAGAGCCCTGCGGCTGGAGGCAGGGGGCCTGCTCAGAGGATCGTCCCTCTCGCCCAGATGTCTTCTTAGGGCGATGTCAAGGAAAGTGAACAACTGAGCGTTGGGGTGAGTAGAGATGGTTTAATAGTTTAATGGGTGATTTGCTTTGCAGCATCAGAAACTTCGTAAAGGAAGGTAGTGACTTCACACTAGCCTTGGTTATGGTTAAGGATACAAACCTACTGACTAGCAATAAAAAACTACTTTCATGTAAAACTTGAGATATTTAAATGTTTTTGATTTGTTTAATATGTTTAACAGGAATGAAAGTGTTGTTACTAGCCTGGATCTGTAGTATATGTGAAAGAAAAGCTGGGAAGAGAGGATGAGGATGGAGCTATACAGTTGAAAGTACTAGATGAAATCTAGTAATATGTTAATTATTTCCCTGATCACAGCAAGAAATGAGAGAGATAATTACATGAAGAATTATGTTATAGTTTGGCATGTTTAAGGCATGGTACTTCTTATGCTTAGAGCTTGATTAAAGCCGCTGTTTATTCTTTTATATTTTAATTTTAACTGCTCAGAGACAGGGTAACATGGCACAGGGTATTATGGGGTAAATACTGTGAACATGAAGTGGAGCTGTGGAGACCTGTATTTTGGTGAAATCACAAGTAATCTGGCATTTGCTAAACAGGTATTTTTGTAGTCATTGTGTCTAGTGTTTTAGTATAAATGTACAGGTGGTAATCCTGCCAACTAGCTGCAACTTTTGGTGCAGTTTATAAGCATGATTGTAAGTAGCAGCAGCTGAGTGCTGCTTCTCACGTCAGATCTTTGTAGTGAATGCAGTTGATTAATGCAGTCTTTCTTTGCATCCCATTCATTAAATATATGATTACAGAAAGTAGCTGCTCAGTGAGTGCTCAGTGAGCACCTGTATCTACATGTTCAGTGGTGGTTAAATCTGGTAAATATCTTTTAGCTTTTTCTTCCTTGTCAGTCAGCTTTCTCCCCTGCCCAGGAGCTTTCTCATTTACAAGTGCCTGTCTGATACAATCGGAATTCTTCATACCATGTCGCTGTAAGGAGGCTCGCCAAAGGCATTTTGGTTTAGGCCGTGGAGCAAACTGGTATCCTTGTTAGTGAGTAAATCCAGTTTGAGTTACCACTATCACATGTTTTACAAGAGCATTCAAAAGTATGACTTAGCATTTCAAGAGTTCTAGGGAAGTCATAAGTTATTTTAACCTTAAAAGTTTCTTCCACTTCAGAAATCCTACAAGTCAACAAATTTCCCTTTACTTAAAATGCTCTCCCATGGAGAACAGAGGTCTTTTGGAGTAGCTGCTGTACAATTGATTTTTTTAAGGTACATTTTTCCTGATGGAAATGCTTGAAAAGATTCCTTTAACTGCAGTGCTTTGGATGTTAGATCTCAGAGTATCTTGAGTAAGTGGGTTGTATTTTTTTCTGTGTGATGCTGTAGAGCACAACTTATATATGATAATAAGCTGTAAACAGACAATTGAGACATGTTTCAAATTGGTAATGATGAACGAGATATTTCTAAAGCCTTTACATACAAACTAGTTAAAAGGATATATGTCAGGTCTAGAAGTGCTTCCCTTTTTGTTCCTTGAGTCTTGATTGGGCCTAAGAACATTTTGCAGTTTGGGTGTTTTACAGGAACTTCAGAGGCAGAGATCTGTGGTATGTTCTTCTTTCTAGGAAATGAAGAAAGTTCTAATTTCACTCACAAGTTTGTTGTGGGCCAGAGCCCTGCGTGAATCTTCTGCCCACCTCTGCCCAGTGACCTGCTCCGGTAATGCGTCACATCTTGGTGGAGAAAAACAGAATTCGTAACTTGCCTCTGGGTTTCTTTGTCTAGGTCCATGGTGCAAAGACTGAGAGGCTGAGAGGAGCTAGAAGTCAGCAATGGGAAAATTCTTTATTTTACATACTGTCCTGGTTTGAGCTAAACAGAACCGCTGCAGTTGGGGAGGGAAAGGGGTCAGAAGGCTCAATGTTTAGTGTTTAGAAGGTCAGTGTTTAGTGGCCGGCCCAGACCTAACCCTTGACACATGCATTTGCCTGCCTGATGTAATATGATTATTCAAGGTCAGGACACTTAATTGTCAGTGAAATGGAGAGCTATTTGTTTGTTACTTACATGCGAACTACTCCAAGACCCTTCTGTCATCAGACTGATTTCATTGCCAAGAACACACTTTATTTCTTGTGAATATCCTGTGACATCCATCTTAGGCTGTGAGAATCTCCATGGGTCAGATCCTCATGGGTCAGATCCTCAGCTTGTGTAAATCTGAGTAGCTCTGTTCAAGTCACTGATACTCTAGTGATTTATGCTAGGTGAGCATAGTTCATAATGTTAAGAAATACTATTATTCAATGTACATTTTGTATCACATTGTATTATTTTTGCACAGTAAAAGCAAAAACGTGATGACCATATTAAATTCGCATGTGTACCCAGTGTACCAGCTCACAAACAACTTGTACGCCAAATTAAGCTGTTTGAAAACACTTTGAAATGGCACCAAAAAATCTATTCTCATTTGTCAACTGCTAAGACTTATGGCTTAATATATACATGTTTTTTTAAAAAAGGGCAGTAGATGTTTCTTGGCTGGCTCTCCAGTACTTGGCTCTCAAAAGAGTAGATGGCTGCAGAGAAGACACAGATATGAGTGCTTGGGGATGAATCTGTACAGAATTTGTAATGGTGTGGCTGCCTAGGGTGCCTTGGAGGCTGGCACTCCATGAACTTCTCTTCACACTCAGTAAAGCCGGATTTTAATTTATTTAACTGCTTTTCCTTCCATGATGAGCATGTTTGAAGCAAAGAGGCATTTTTCAATTACTGCTTTGTTAGGTTTGCAAAATACAGGTTGGGAGAGAGAGGAGGACCCAGCACATGGAAGCCGTAGCTGCCTGGACACTGTGTGACTCTGTGGCTCTGACAGCTCTAGGGCCCTTCTCGCAAACGCATTCAGCTTCTTTAGCCTCTTCCCCAGCAAGAGCTGGTTATCTCATAAACAGTTCAGCTCTGGTTTGGGTCTTTTTCTGCATAATTACCAGTATTTATAGAGACTTCTGAAAAGAAAAAAATGCAGTTAATGTTGAATGTAGTTATTTGCGGCAAAGGAAGAAATACCTTGAAACTGCAGTGACTAAATCATTCACTTTGCTGAAAAGACTTCAGTTATGAGCTAGTGACTTCTACAAGCTGTGTGTGTGTGAACGGCAGTATATATAACACTTGTTAATGTTGAGAAAGCGAGTGAATATATAAATACTCCATCAGAGCATCTGAACATCTCTTTTCTGATGGCTGAATTGCTTGTTCATAAAAAGACATTTCTTCAGCATCCCCAGAGATGGATGCTTTTGTGAAGGACGGTTTTCATACGGAAGACAGAGCCCAGAAATACCGGGTAGAGTACGATGGTGCTTTCTCAACATACATTTCTACAAACGCTTCCTCCACCCTTTTAGTCCTTCCTATTGTGAAAGCTAGAAAATACCACCCCGGAGATATCCTCTGCTTCCCCTCTGCTTTTAAAGCCTTAGAGTTATCTGAAACCTCAGGCCACATAGCCTTTCCTTTTAATTCTTTCTGCAGGAAAGTGTGTGGGTTTAACTTTCCTGTTCTTTTGGTTGACTAATGTAAAAAGAGCAGTTTGAAAGTGCAACCACTCCACGCAGAAACCACTTCTTAAGCAAAAATGTATGACTGCTCTCCACTTGGAAGTCGGAGATTTTACGCTCACCTACCTCACAATTTTATCTGAGCTTCTAGTCTTTGACAAAGATCTGAGTGTTTGAGAACTTCAAGCTTAATCCAGAAGGCTGATTGTAAACAGAACTCCCACTGATTTCAGAAGATATTCCATGTACAAAGATCTGATAGGTCAAGATCTTGGAGGGATTAACACCTCTAGTTTAAGAATTCATGTTTCAGTTTAGCAGTCAGAAAACCAGACGCAAGCTACAGTATATCGTTAATATTTATTGGATATTTTAAAGGGAAGTGTCTGCTTAAGTATAGTTTAGAACATGGTAAATGATCCACACAATGAAAAAAAATAATCAGCATTTCATTATGTTGCTAAAGCAAGGAGCAAATAACGGACATCACCAAGATAAATAAGGGACTCTGGATTTTCTAGGGTTTTGAGTGTATCTTGTAGATGCATCCCAAGACTATCTTGTTTGGTCCTTTTGAACCTCTAACACTGCACCATTTCCTGGAATTCTGCAAAAGATAAGAGAATATTTACAGCAGAAATATTAAAATGAAAGCATTATGAGTAAAAGATTATTGGTTATCAAGAGATTTAGGATAGGAATGAACAGAAAACAATTACCTGGTAGATGACCAGAGGGGAAGAAACATGTATGGAAGAAAGACATCTGCTAGACTTCCTCTGCTAAACGACAGATGGAAAGGCAGCGTTTTGCTGATATTTATGAGGAATAATATAATGTTCTTACTGCATAGTACTGATCTTAAGCAAAAATAATGGAATGGCTAATGCGGAGTTTGAGTAAGGGGTAGTTGAGAGCTGAAATAAGAAAATTAAAAGCGAGTTCGTGTGACTTACTAGGCATTTGTAATGCTTGAGCAGTTGAGAAGTGTTGATTTAGAGCGCAGTCTAAAGCCAAAAACATTGTGCAGTTTCATGTGCTACGCTACTGAAGTATTGTGTTACGCAACAGGATATTTATTGTTATTTGGAAGATCTTCTAAGTGTTGGGCTTCTGTGAGTATGCAATCAGTCCCCTCCCAGACTGATTGTATTAGAGTATGGATTGCTTCATAAATCATATGTGTTTACTCTGGCACGTTTCCTAAGGAACTGGACTTAATTCCCTCCAAAGAAAGAAACAGAGGAGTTCTGGCCTCTTGGCGCGGCGCGCTGGGGAATCTGCAGCCCAGCACATTCCCCGCGTGCTCTCCCTAAGCCCCTTTCATGCTCGTCTGGGCAGCTGCTTCTCTCGTGGGGCGAGTTGCCGTTGGCTGCAAGCCCTTCGTGTCAGTCTGTGCTTCCAGCTCGAAATGGGACACAGAAATGTGGAATTAGGAGATCAGGAGGTTTCTGCCCTGAGCATCCATTAAGTCACGCCAGCATTTCCACGGGATGAGTGCAATCTGCTGCTTCCTAAACCAGCTGCTCCTTCCTCTCTGGTCCTTAACCTGCCACAGAGGGTAAACAGCATCCGTGGCCGGCCGGGAGCCTGGTGTGGGATGTCCTGTCAGGGGAGTGACACTTGGTCGTTCTGTCTGTCCTTATTATGAGAAACAAATACTGAACTACGTGCTGCTAGCTTTTGCGTGTTGTGAATTATTTCCCTGACTACTAGAATTTCTGTTGGGAGATAACTGATGTAAATGAGCCCGTGGATTTGCTGTTGATTCTCGTGTATCGGGCTATTCCTTTTGTCCTTCTTTTTACATTTGTGTATTACAAATGATGCTGCTGCTGCCTCGCATCAGAGTAAGTGGGAGGAGAAATAAAGGCCGTTCCTTTCAAAACTGGAAATTTGTGAGTGAGTGGCAATGAGAAAGTTCCTTGGGGCAGCCTCAGTGGGCTTTTTGACTTGCTCATGCAAAACGAGTTGCAGAGATGAACCTATAAGATCAGGGACTGTTTCTGCCCTTAAACAAGTTGTTACTGCAAGGCTTTCAGAAAAATCTCTAGAGGTATATTAACATACCAACAGCATAAAAGAGAATCGACATTGTTACAGCACATCCTGAGGAACCTCATTCTGTATCTAAGCAAGTTAATACCTTCAGCCCCAATTTTACCATCCCCATCATGATCTGCAGCTGCCAGGAAGGTCTTGGTTTCCGAGGTGGTTAATACTCTGGCTCCGCACTCAAACCTCTGAAGGAAATACCTAGGAAGAAAATAACTTTGGTTATAATTTTCACAGAATATTATTATTTTATTAGGGCTATATAATCAAAATGATAGCTAGATACAGATAAATTATTTACAGCAATAGTCAAGTCCTCCAAACACTGCTTTATTGACAAGCTCATTCTTAGTCATATGCGTTTCCGCTTTGTAAGGCCAGCCCTGATACAATTGATTCTGCCCGCTGCCAAAATCCAGCCCCAGAGAGTTATTTTTTCCTTTACTGAGCATTAAGACAGGTATATACTAATTTAATTTTTTTTTTCTCTGTAGGGATTATCTACTTAAAATACCTTTCACAATCTGCTGAAGGTTTTATCAATATTTAGTGTATCTTGTGCTCGCATTACAGAATGGTTCTGGAAAGTGCTGATTTTTGGATAGCCTCTAAGTAATTAACAAAATCCTTACTTGAGTTCATCTTCCTCAATAAAGCCACTTTGATCATTGTCGAGAATCCGGAAGATCTCCTTGAGCTGGCTGCTACTCTTTTTAGACATCCCACTGATCTGAAAGAATTTTTTGGGACTAAAGGAATCTGGAGCTGAAAATAAATGAATAAATAAATTAACCCCAGACCACAGCTTTCACTGTTCATGAAGGGTCTGAGGGATGCTGCTTTGTTACATTGCAATTGTTCTAAACACCAATGATAGAAAAGCCTGTCAAAGAATGAATGCTGCACCATACCCTCCTAAACAGCCAAAAAAATCACATGGGGATAAATTATGAACTGACAATATAAACCAGTAATGAACAAATACACTGTGACAACTAAGTAAAGAGATTACAGAAATCTGTTTGCAGTATGCGCTGGTTCAGTATTCCCTTGGGACTGAATTAAACTTGCCATGCGTTACACAAAATGATAGACTTTCGGAGTTTTAATTGTTTTCTCACCTTGGCAGTCCCGCAGAGCAGCAGCAATATCGGAAGGGCTTAGAATGTCTGTAAGGCTCATTGTAAACCTGTGCAAAATAGTGTATCACAAACAGATTTGTGAAATGCAAATTGATGTTGCTGTTTTTCAAAGGCTACTACATGGCTAACAAGGCTTCTGAGGGTAGAAGAATTCAACTGATCGAACCGACATCGCTGCTATTCCTAATAAGAAGATTTAGTAAATTTCTTCCTTAAAAATAGCAATGCTGAAATAATACTTTTTAATGAGTTGGATTACATAAATTATGTTGTGAATTGATGATCAATTTTTTGACATTTACCTGCATCCTATTTAAGTACAGCTCATTTTTAAACTATGTAACCATTAATCTAATAATTAGTCTTACTGGAATGCACAGTCTCTGACATTACAAATAACAGTATATGCAGTGGAATAAAGAAAGTCAAGGCTTGCTTCTGTTTTCTTCCCCCACCCCAGCTCTGAAGAATAAAAAGAAAACTGATACTTATCTATACTAGGTCCATCCGTATGTAATTCCAGCAATTAAAATAAAAGAACAGTAGTTATTGTACTTACTACTGGTGCAGCTCTGAACAGCAATTTCACTTAATCTCAAGTCAGCTGCTCACCTTTATGGTTTTCTCAGCTAGGTAAAGGAAAAATAGCTGAGGAGATACCAGGTAAAATAGTGATGTTGGCTCTGGCTTGCCACTCTGGTTTATAAAGGATTCAAAAGGTGACAATAACCACTACTTAGGTTACTGGTTCATGGATCAAATGTTTGATTTGAGACCTAGCTCAAATTTCTTCCTTAACTAATTAAACTTTTCTTTCTATTTATATCCTAAGATAATATGGACAAGAAGAACAGTTTTTTAATAAATCCACTGCTGCTTAATTAATTACAACTCTGTCATCAAAACCTAGCCTTTCAATCACGGAATTTGCTAAAGATTTTCGCTTCACCTCTGCACCTTGAAGTCACTTGTCAGCAGATGACTCCAACAGTCAAATCCTTCTGAAAAGAAACTAGTTTGGTTTCCCTAAATGTGTTGATCTTTTGGAATGTATAGAGGAAGTTGGAGATGAAAGATCAGAGGTGACAACGTGTCATTCTGACAGAGATAACTTGTCACTAGGACAGAGGAAAGCATACCAGAGTGTGTGGGGATCTTTGCACAGTAAGCTTCCGTTCGCGTTTCCTGACTATTCCCTAAATTGCAGCGCTCCCTCCGGGCAGGGCTACAGCAGGAACCAACACTTTCAGTGACAGCAAAACTCTGCAACTAGGGGAAGCAGTATAAACTAATCTTGTTGCCTGTATTCCTGGGAGGGTTATGTATAATCGAATGGCCTACTTAACAATCTATTTTGAATATTTTAAATCACATTAAATCAATAATAGACTTACTCGAAGTTGAATGAATCAAACTTGGTTAGCATGGAGATAGATCTATGTACATTTTTCAACACGTGCTCTCACAATCTATTTCCTTAGAATGGAATTAAAATTGTAGAAATAAATAAGTGGGGTTTATTGCGTATTTCATGAATGTTAATTTTGGAAAAAATAAAGAAAATCTGGAACAGCAGGTAGGAGGTTTGCCTTCTCACACAAGAATCTGTCTTTAAGGAGGTTTATGTGGACAAATTTCTAGGATGAAGACCAATAAAAACCATGTGTTTTGGTTAGAGTTTATGGTAGAACAGTCTGTTTTGGTATCTGAAGTAAGGTTCTCCTAATTCGTGAACATTGTTTTATTTTTTAATGAATGGAAATAGCATGGTATGCTGAACAAGTTTTTTTTTATCATAGCAAAAGTTACAAATTAAGTTATGTAGTAGAATAGTAATATATCTAAGCCTTAGTTTAAATTGGGTAAATTGGCTTTAATCCCAATTGGTTTAATGACAGTGAGAACAATATCAAGCACAGCAATTGTTCTCTAGCTCCTGTTTGTCTGAATCTGGATAGAGAAATGCAAGTATAATTAAAACGAAAAAGCAGACATCATTTAGTGATACTTTTCCCCTTTTTTACTCTCTCTTTTTTATGCAAAAGGTGATGTAAAATCACAGATAACCAGGCTTATCTTTAATCCCAAATATCAGCTGTCTAGTAATGAAAGAAGATGCTCTCTTCGATGTCTTTCAGTAGGAAAACTATTTCTAGTAATTTGGAAAACACTTTCCGATCAAACCTAAGAACTGTGAGCTGTTGCACATTAATATCTTCTGATTAAAACAATTGAACAGTGCTTGGTTGTACAAGTTGAAGGACTGATCTTGCGTCTTTTGGCGTTCCTTCCATTTATTTTCTGTGTTCAGTGCTACGTACTCTGCTGCTTTCCGTCTGAGACGGACTGATGTCAGTCTAAGTCAGGCGAGGGCACCCACTCAGTTTTCTGCAGAATCAGCCTAAAATAGCTTTCAACTGTGTAGGTACCTTTTTTGCATTCTATTGTGAATTTTCTCCTTTATGATCATCTCAAGTTGATCCGAGTTTTAACAGAAAGGTTTTTTTACTGATTCCTCTTAAACATTTTTACTGCCAAGTTGAGTCTAGAGAAAAGGCTTTTTTTAGACCTCTGTGAAAGTGCTGTAGACGTTTGTAGTAAGCTGCTTTATTTCTGCTTGCTCCTGCACGCTGCTCGTTGAACTGCTTGCTTTAATTTTTGACTTGCCGTGCAACATTAATTATTAAAAGCTGATGAGAATGAGAAAATTGAAATGAAGTAGGGGAAAATGCCAAGATCCAGGCAAGCATATAATAACAAACCTCAAAATATGTCTGCAAGTAGTTCAGGCATTATACTAAAATATAAGCACCAAATGCTCGAAGAATGGCATGTGGTTACCTCATGCACTCTGCCTGTTGAACACATCTAAAAACAGTTCGGTGCCCTGTGTGCCATTGAACTGTTTTTACATGTGTTCAACAGTAATAAAGTCACCAGAATTAGTATTATACTAAAATATGATCTCAGATAAAAGTGAGCTAATTGATACAATAAGTTCACTATTATTGCTTACGAAGGAATCTTTGAATGTTTGAAATTCAACACTGACAACAAAAGTGGTGTTAATCCTGTCTGAAAGATGGTTTACAAAAGCCTAAAAGAGCTGAATTTCAGAATCAAGTTGATGTCACTGTATATTGATACAGGTGGGAATCTAGGGTTACTGGGTTTTATTTATTTATTAATGACACTTCATCTAAAGTACAAGTTTCCCTCCACTACAACTAGAATGAAATAATCAAGGATGAGTATATTACATAAAGGGATGTTTAAATTAGATAATATATTTCATGGCTAAATTATCTACCTGTTTCCCTTACTTCTGGGGTATGTTTTATCTTAGGTGATTGCTGCCACTTTAGAGCTTAAAAAATTGAGATCTATAAAAAATATTTTTCTATAAAGAAAATACCTAATAATTCAACCAGCACAATAGCTGCTAGGTAGTAGGCAGTTAATAGTTGTGCATAATCTGGTACAGAATCTGAGTATTGCACAATTTCCAGGATGTTTTAGCACTTTTTCCTATGAAATTCAATAATAAAATAATGTTTTTGAGGGTTTTTTTTGTTCTACTAGGGACATCTGGAAGTGCTGTAGAGTTGTTTATCTGAAGATTTCTGTACTTGTATAATTTCTGTTGTTTTTTTCCCAAGGTGTCTTTATGCACGATATGTACATAAAGCCATTATTTTGTTTCAGACTTCCGGAATTAAATTTCAAGGTATAGTTCTGAGAAATACAGAACATTCATATTGATAAGTTCTTGCTAGAAATCTAAACATATAAACCAACTGTTTTCAAATCCAGTACCATTCCCTTCTCTAATAAGCAGAGGAAAGTTGTGTTTTGGTAAATCTTTGGGAGGTTGTCGACTAGTCTTGTACTCTTTGGGTACTGTTTGGTCTAAAGTACAGAGTTAACTAGCAGTGGCAGTCAACCAAAGACATGACTTCAAGCAGATGCAAAAGAAACATCAGCAGTCATCTCAGGTGAGATCAGAGGAGAGGTGTTAACCTGAGACCAACTACAGTAGTGTAAAGAGATGCTGCAGCAGCTGTTCTAAACCCCACACAGCTCCATCTTTCAGCCAGGGCTGTGTGGGGGCCAGAACAATTGTATCATGATCCTGGATAATAGATTCTGCCTCTGTAATGAGTTTGGATGTAACTAAAATAAGACGCTGAGTAACCTATGTGGTTGGTCATTAGTGTTGATATCTCAATGGTGACAGCAGAGAATGTTCGTATGAATATAGTTACAATCATTGAAAAGGGCCTTTACAACAAAATGAGCTGTATCCTGCCGCTGCAAGTTGTTTCTTAAGGCCCATGCTTTGGTCATCTAGAAATAATTACAGAATCCAATTTGAATGGTTGCTTGGGCCGTAGTCTTTTACCATATTTGAGAGAGGAGTTCAAGAACATGGTTTAGTATTTGACCTTTATGGTATTATGCATTATTACAGTGAGGGATGGAATCCAGGCCTTGGAAGCCTCAGTGACAAAGCTTTTCTTCCCTGCAGCAGGTAGAGGATGTTACCCAGAGCACTGAGCAGAGATCGGGACTGGGGAATCCAAGACACAAGATACATCTGGCAGCACTGTGGGTCTGGAGCTGAACAAAGACAGGTATTTCCCTCACATTAGGGGAAGTGTCTTGTGTACTTTACCCAGTTTAAATTGTGCCCCTATAAGTCTGTGTAAATGAGATTGATTTCTGTTTGAAAATGATAGCAGAATAGACTGGCATAATTGATTAACTAATTCATAGAGGTCAGTCTGATCAGGTTATTTTTTTCACTTAAAAAGCTGCTAGCATTTGATATATTACATGTTTGTCTTTAAATGCACTTGCAAGTGCTTCTGTGACTCAGTAACACAATTTTCTGTCTCTTATCATACATGTAATTGTCATAGAAGTTTCTGTCTGCTGTCACCATTATAGACAGTGTCAGATGCAGAGATCTTTAAAAGTTGACATTGTTCAGCTTTTCTGTATATTTTAAGAATAAGTGTGTCCTAAGGTTGGAGGCTGTGAAG